AAGAAACTAGATGACAGGAGCGTGCCAATGGTGTTCTTGGGGTATGAACCAGGCTCAAAGGCATACAGGGTTTATGATCCTAATGCAAAGAAATTGCATGTAAGCAGGGACACAATATTTGAGGAAGATAAGGAGTGGAATTGGGAGTCTGTACAAGGAGAAGGAAGATTTGGAGCTCACTCACATGACGTGTTCACCGTACACTATGAACATGAGCCGGCTGGGAGTGTACAAAACACGGTTGATCATGCAGGTGAGAATGTTGAAAATACACCAGTATCTGTGAAATCTTCTGGAGGTGCAGCAGCGAATTCTGGAGGTGCAGCAGCGAAATCTTCTGGAGGTGCAGCAGCGTCGTCTCACTCCTCATCGGGACATGATCAGTTGGAAGAGACAGCAGATCATTCAGCAAGCTCAGAGAGACCACATAAGTATCGTTCTCTACAAGAGGTATACAATGATACAGTTGAGGTGGATGAAGAAGCAGGTCTATGTTTCCTATCTATTGATGAGCCAGCAAGTTTTGAAGAAGCAGCAAGCAATGAAAACTGGAGACAAGCCATGGCCGAAGAAATTGCAGCCATTGAAAGGAATAATACATGGGAATTCGCAGAATTACCAGAAGGACATCGAGCTATTGGTTTGAAATGGGTATACAAGGTGAAGAAAAATCCTGAAGGAGAGATAGTAAAACACAAAGCTCGACTCGTGGCGAAGGGATATGTACAAAAACAAGGAGTGGATTTTAATGAGGTATTTGCTCCTGTTGCACGATTAGAAACTGTAAGGCTCTTAATTGCTTTGGCAGCACAAGAGAGCTGGGAAGTACACCACATGGATGTAAAATCTGCATTTCTAAATGGCGAGCTAGAGGAAGAAGTGTATGTAGCACAGCCCGTTGGATTTGAAGCCAAAGGCCATGAGGGACAAGTGTTGAGACTGAAGAAGGCATTATATGGACTACGTCAAGCACCTCGAGCATGGAATTCGAAGCTTGATAAGTGCTTACAGTCACTGGGGTTTATCAAGTGTCCTATGGAGCATGCTGTGTACAAGAAAGAACTGAGGGGTGAAATTCAAGTGATTGGTGTGTATGTAGATGACCTTATTATCACTGGGTCAAGTGTCGAACACATTGTGAAGTTCAAAGAACAGATGAAGAAGCTGTTTGACATGAGTGATCTTGGATTATTAAGCTACTACCTGGGCATTGAAGTGAAGCAAAATGCACATTCCATCACACTGTCTCAGTCAGTATATGCCTTAAAGATACTTGAGAAGCTTGGGATGGCCGAATGCAATCCCTGTCAAATTCCCATGGAACCAAGACTTAAAATGAGTAAACTGAATGTCAGTCCTCCAGTTGATGTTTCTTTGTATAGAAGTGTCATAGGGAGTTTGAGATATCTAGTTAATACAAGACCTGACATAGCCTACTCAGTTGGAGTGATGAGCCGATACATGGAGGCGCCATCGACAACTCACATGACTGCCGTGAAGCAGATATTGAGGTATGTACGAGGCACTCTAAATTTTGGGTGTTGCTATGACAGGAAGAAGCCTTTGGGAGAATGCTTGATTGGGTACAGCGACAGTGATCTGGCTGGAGATATTGATGCAGTACCGCCCGAATGAGCTTTGAACAAGGGCACTGAGTTTCTAGCCTTCGAGGACTCCTCTTTCTGGCTTTGCTCGTACCCCACTCAGACAGTACCGCCCGAATGAGCTTTGAACAAGGGCACTGAGTTTCTAGCCTTCGAGGACTCCTCTTTCTGGCTTTGCTCGTACCCCCAGCACGATAGTACAGCTCTCAGGAGTTATCTATTTTCTTGGCGGAAGCCCTGTGACATGGCTATCACAGAAACAGAGAGTAGTGGCACTCTCCTCATGTGAAGCTGAGTATGTGGCCGCAACAGCAGCGGCATGCCAGGGTGTTTGGCTTAGGCGTCTGTTGAGTGAGCTAAAGGGCAGTGAACCTGTCAAAGTTATCATCAATGTAGATAACAAATCAGCCATTGCTCTCACGAAGAACCCTGTGCACCATGACAGAAGCAAGCACATTGATATCAAGTATCATTTTATTCGTGATTGTGTTCAAAAGGAAGAAATTGAAGTGAAGTATGTGAAGACTGAGGATCAACTGGCCGATATTCTGACAAAGCCACTTGGTCGTCAGAGGTTTGTCGAGCTGCGTGAGAAAATAGGACTGAAGGATGTGAAGAAGATGCAACAAGATTAAGGGGGTGAATGTTGAATTAATCTTGTAACGTTATGCATTTCATAGGTTAATTAGTTGGTTACTTAGTGGGTTAAGTGTTTAGTTAGTTAGTTACAGGTTTCTTGTGCACGTTGTGCACGTTTGTAAGTTAGAAAAAAAACTGTTTTGTATTTGTAGTTTTATATGACAGTAATGAATGTGTGTGGATTTTAGAACTGCTTGCGCTGATAGTGCGCGGCGTTTGCGAATGCGCTCCTCCAGCGTTGATCGGTTCCGTTTGACACGACCCATTCCATTGTTGGCGGCTTGGAGGAACCACCATTCATTGATTGTTGAGGCTGCTTGCTTCTTTTGTTCTTCAGATCCGCGTTGTAGCGGAGAAAATTGGTTTTCTTTCCTCGTCACAAAAGTGTGTGTTTCCAGCAAATTGAAGAATCAATTCCAACAACATCATGACTAAAACTAACAAAATTTGACATAAAGTCCAATATCTCTTAATCCAAAAGAAATTCGACATATCTGCGTGTTACAAACCAAGTCAGTTGAATTTGTTTCTCTTCATCTTAAAAATTACGTGATTTTTATATAGGAATTAAAAAAAATGAGTACAAGTTTGTGAGTAACCTGATAATTTATTTCACAAGCCTCACTCAAAAAACTACATAAGTACCCTTGCATGAAACAAACACTGAAACTCTCATAATTAACCTTTACAAAAGAACTACGTATAATTAACATCCCCCCTGCAGGAGAGGTCTGAAGCCGGAGAGAATCTGCTGATCTCGCTGCTGGGTCGGTTTTTCGCCAGCGAAGAACGACGAGGGCTGTTTCCTCGATGGTACGGGCACTTGTATTTTCCAGGCGGGAGAGAGCAATAGCACTTGACTTCGGCGATGTACTTCTTCCTGTCGTTGTTCCACAAAAATACCGCTTTCGCTACTAGTTTGGCCAGTTCGTCGTCAGGTTTCGAGGAATTGGGCCGCGACGCGGACTCTCCTGTGAAACCCGTGTTGGCCATTGGAAAAGAGAGAGGTTTGGAGACGATGCTGGTGTTTTTGGAATCGGAAGCGCGCGGAGAAAGATTGAATCTTTAGTTTGGTTATGTTTTTTTTTTTTTTTTTTTTGGGGGGGGGGGGGGTTTGGCTGGTTTAAGAGGCTATAAAAACGAGGATTAGGAAATGTGAGGGGTTTTGAACGCGATTACGATTAGGAGGGTAGTTTTGTTATGGGTTTTGGATATATTTACGAGGTAAGAGTTTCACTAAACCCCAAGGGGCTGTTTGGATGCCTTTAGGAAACTAGAGTATTTATGACACAAAATAGAAAGTGGTTATCCACCTCACCACTTTCCATTCGAGTGTTTACATTGTTTGGTTAGTAATATTTGTGAATCCTAAAATAATAGTATTACATTGTTTGGATAGTATAATGTAAACTAGAGTATTTATGACACAAAATGGAAAGTGATTATCCATCTCACCACTTTCTACAAGGTTTTGATTTTTTTATTATTTTTTTGGACACATTTATGACATTGTGTCAGATTTCTAACAAAATCACTCCTAAGGGGCTGTTTGGTTGTTGTTGGTAAAGTTGTATATTTATGACACAACTTGGAAAGTTGTTGTCCATCTCATCAATTTTACTTTTATACTTTTCTTTGTTTGTTTTTTATTCCATTGGAATCATAAAACACTTGTTTGGTTTGCAAAATGAAACTTTAATTGTTTGTTTGGAAAGTGTAAAAAGTGGTCCCTACTCAAATGATCATATTGGTTGGAATTATTTTTTATTATTTTTTCCTAACTTCAATGTTAGCTTTCTCCTAAAATCATGTCTTTTTTTCATGAAATCACTTTACAAGCCACATCAGCATATGAAATCACTTTACACTATTTTCACAACTACAAACAAACAATTGAAAGTGATGAAAGCTAACATTGGGACCCACTTTTTTACACTTTACATCCTTTTACATGGTAAAAACATACAACCAAACAGCCCCTAAACCCCAAATAAGCTTGGGTTTTTGCGCGTAACCTCAAGAAGTTTGAAACTCTCACAAACACCCTGTAAGTTTCGGAATTTCAATAAACTAGCAAAACATTTTGATTTTTTTTGCACTTAATCACCACAATGACATGAGCACGTATTTAGGGCTCCCAAACAAATAATATCACATAAACATCCATCGTAGTAAATGGGGAGATTAAGTGAAAGAAATCTACGGATTTTGGTGCTTTACTGAAATTGTTGAGCTTGCCCTCAAGTTTCTAAGCTTTTTTGAGGTTAAGTGCCAAAGGCCCAAACTTATGGGGTGTTAGTTAAATTTACCCTTTTTTATAAGAATAAATCACAATAAAGCCCCTAAACTTTTGAATAATTTGCAAAGAAAAGGATCATGCACTTTAAAAATTAGAGAAATCCCTAAAGTATGCGAAATTCATAAAACTACCTTGAACTTGCAGAAGTTTCCATTTTAATATTGGGCTAAAATCCTATGTGTGGTTGGTTAAGAGAAGATAGAGTAGAATAAATTTGAGAAGAAAAATTAAGTAGATGATTTTCTTATACGCTTCTGCTGACAAAGAGATTTGTTCAACGATAGCAATTTCAATGTTTAGAAGGACTAAATTTAAACTAATTTAAGGGTTGTGGCATTTAATTGCAATTTGAGTGGCAACAAATTTCGAAATATGAAAGATTAAAGGGACTAATAGGAGAAGACCCATCTAAATATGATTCGGATTCCGGTATAAAACTGAATTCGACCCGACCCGTTAATACCCCGGCGGCGGCGAAAAAACCCTAGGCAAAGCCCCTAGCAAAATCTGAGCTCTAATGGCGATCAAGAAACCGAAAGCTCCGAAGGGCAAAAATCCTCAAGAAAAGCACAAATTCATTGATAGGAAATTGAAGAAGAAGGACAAGAAGGTGAAGAGAAGCAAAAACGCTAACTTTATTCCTCTCGGCGACAACCCATTAATCGCCGAGAAGAAGAAGAAGGAGAAGGAGAAGAAGGAGAAAGAGAAGGGAAGCGAGAGCCTCACGTTAGTTTCTACTGCTCCTGCGGCTCAGCAGCTCCGGTTTTTTCTCCACCATTTTCAGTCTGCTAATGGGTTCAAGCTCTCGCCTCTTGAGTTGGAGGCTTTCAAAGGTCTGAGCTTTCTTCTTTGCTTGCTTCAATTTACATTTTTTTTCTTGGTGGGCAGAAGTTTATGTTTTTACTGATATTATTGCTTTTCTCTTGGAAACTACACGTTGAGTTAGATATTAGTTAGTGCATAGCTTTAAAAAACAACAACAACCTGGATTCACATTTTGAGGAGGATAAATTTGCAGAAATGATATAGCCCCCCACTCCCTTATGAAGTTAGGGGTGTTAAGTGCTGCTTAAATATTTGAGGTGTAACATGTGCAAGTGAAAGTGTAGAATTAGAAATTTCTATTTTAGATGAAGTTGAATTAGGAAAGTTGAAAAATGTTTGTGTAGGTTGATCCATGTTAAGGTCAAAACATTTATGAATTGCTTATATGACGTTAACCTATTCAGACTAAGAGGGTTTTTGGGAAGGCTTATTTTCTGAAGCTTATAAGCTATGCTGGCTTTTGGTAGCCTTTTTCTTTTATGATTAAGCTTTTGTGAAAGTTTCATGGATGGAGAAGTCATTTACTTGGTCAAACCTAGATTCTTTAGATGAGGTTATAAGCTAAAAAAATTTAAAAGTAGGGGAATCCTAGTTTTTCCAAAGGGACTTAAAAGATTAGTTTATTGGAGATGTCACCGAGCATGTGGATATGGAAAATCTAGCTTGAAAGCTACCTTGAACAAAAAAAAAAACTCTACCAAACACCCTCTTAAGGGTTTACATGATGTTTGAATGCCATCTGCACTCTTGATGACTACTTATAACTGTCAACACATCAAAAACAAATGTTTTTAGAGAAACAGAAGAGAATTTAGAAGTTCCAAAAGTCAATAACAAGTACAATATGACAGTAAGTGCTAAGCGCTGACATGGCACATAGAGCCTAGGCGGATACTTTTTTTTTGTTTAACTGATGGTGGATGAGATTTTGCTGAAAGTTGTTAGAGATGGAGGAGGTGTTCGGAGATGGTAGAGGAGGCTAGGGAAGTGGGGGACGGGCAGCAACAGAGGAAATCAAACCACAACCTAAGTTTTGCAGCCCCATAACAGTCTGGGCTTCCCTAGGCGCCCCAAGATCTAGGTGGGCAGTCTAACCACCATCTAGATCTAGGCGGGAGCCTAGACCGCTCTTTAAAATTATATTAGGGAGTGTTTGGCAACTTTGTAACATTAGGCCAGGACAGAGCCTGGCGTAATTTTATGTTGTTTCTTGTTTGTCAAAATTCTAGGCTAGATCTGACCCCATTTTTTGTGCCCAAATAGTGTCACTAAACTAGTTTTGTTTTGGACTAGGGGGGTCTGGTCCAAAACAAAACTAGTTTAGCACAAAACCGGGCCAGGATTGGTCCTAGCCCAGTTTTGCTCTGTTTGTCAAACTGACCCTTAGCAACTCCAATTAAAAATGCATAATGTTAGCATGAGTCCCTGAGTGAATGTTGATCCTGGCCCAGTTTTGCTCTGTTTGTCAAACTGACCCTTAGCAACTCCAATTAAAAATGCATAATGTTAGCATGAGTCCCTGAGTGATCCAACATTCTTTAAGCACTAAAGGACATCTTTATGACGTTGAATATCCATATGCATACATTACTTTTCTTCTTGCCACTAAATCATGGGTTGGCACATTGTCCTGTATTTTTTTCATATAACCATAATATGATAATAAATATGTGGTTCCTTTCTTTCTCGTCTAAAATATTTAATTAACTATCCATACTTCCACTGTTGATATCCTCATCATAGAACCCTAAGTTTCATTGAGCTACACATGCTTCCATAGTTGATGTCCTTCTGAAACCAACTTTAACCCCATATACAGTTTTGTTCCTACTTTATTAAAATATGCTTTGGATAATCATAATGCATATGCAGTTTATAGATACAAATTCTGTATTTTCTATCATTGTCATCTGCATGGTGTTATGTGATTATGAAATTAATTTTTGACTTTAAAACTATTCTTAGAAAAATGAGTTTTCTCATTTTAGATCCTAAGGACCTCAGATCTTCATAGTAGTAATCTACCTCTTCAAATCCAGTCTGTTTTTTTAAATAACGCCCTCATATTTGTAATTTACACCCCTAAATCCGTTAAGTTTTTTAAAGTAACACCCCGTTTCAAACAAATATGAAGGTTTGGATGTGCAAATTACAGTATGAAGATTTGGGTGCCTAATATAAAAATAGGATAGAATTTAGGGTCTAATATTAGGGGGAAAACACAAAAAATTGGTTTATTTTTTCTTTACTGCTTCAATAAGTGGAGCTTTTCTAACCTTAGAAATGTTGTGTTCTCCATCTCATGGCACTACCTATTAATCTATGTTGGGGAATCAAGTCTGGTTGCAGGTTGCTGAATTATTTCCACCTTAATTTGGATATAATTATCTTATTTTTTTAATAAATTGCTTAATCCTCCTCCTTTGTGATGCTCAATTATTTTAGTTTTCTTGTGTAAACCTATCTAAGGGCAGATTGGATTTGTGCAGATACATGTATGGTTGAGCTTTCTCAAAGTATGGATCAGGATGTGGAGAACTTTGGCGAGCATATGAAGGCTCCTTTTGAAGCATCTTGGAAAGACGTTCTTTGTGAAGGGAAACTTTTAGAGGGAAAGGTTGATGCTGGTTGTCCAGCAATAATTGTAATAAGCACATCCGCATTGAGATCTTTGGAGCTGCTCAGGTAATATTAGTAGTGTTACAGCAGGCGTCCTGAGTTAGAGTTTCAATCAGCGAAACCACCATGATCTGTTTCTAATAATTTGTATTAATTTGTGTATTAATTTTCTTGCAAGAACATTACAAAGAGGTTTAGTTTTAATTGCAAGAGTTAAACAACAGAAATATCAATAAACAGATAACTCTGTCTCTACTGGTGCATGTAGGGAAGAAGTAAGAATTTCAATTTCGAAATAGCATGAGATTCAGTCTTTGATTCAAGCTTAATAGTGAGTTTTTCAGTGTTAGTCGTAAAGTTATAGTTGATTTCTCTAAATACATCACTGTTTGTTTACTTTGTTCTTTAGCATTTATGTTTATTATCATTCATCCTTTGATCGTTTTTCCAGTAGATATAGGCTTTGAGAGAGTATGTTAGAATTGATAATAAATCATAATGTCAATGTTCCAGTTTCAGGTTGGTCATAATCCTACTTGGTTCAAGTTTTGTGGTTTTATAGGTACACATGTTTCTGAAGTAAAATACAGTTATTAATAGCATTTAAAAAGACGGAATAATAAGAACAATGATATTTTATATGCATGTTATTAGAGAATCACGTGGGAAGGATGTAAACTAAAAAAATCCTCAATCATTTGCTTTCATATATTAAACCATTATTGTAGATAGATGGTATGTTCTCTTCTATTATGATTGACATTTTATGTTTATGTAGAGGTTTGAAGTCTTTGACAAGAGAGTGTCGTCCGGCAAAGCTGTTTGCAAAACACATGAAAGTGGAGGAGCAGGTATTTTCTTTTGCAAAGACCTACTTTATCATCTGTTTTTATAGACTTACTTTTTTATTGAAAGTTGCAAAAGTTGTTGCACTTTAATTCTATGTCGAAATAGCTTATTGTATCTCACTTCCTGTATGGAAGTTACAAGGTATGATTCTGATATCCTGCTTTGACTATATTTGCATTAAAAGAAAAGTTAGAAATCTTGAATTTATGCACGAGAATTTTACAAGTATGTGAAATGAAAAATATATTAGAAGTTTGAGGAACGCATTTGAGAAGAGTCCAATATGAGTCGGTTGCCAACTATGTCCAACAGATGCCTGACACAAGTATGGATTTACGATAGAAGCTTTCATGCATCATAGGCTTTACTTGTGTTGTACACGATATGACTTTATGACATAAATTTGTCTGCTGCATAGGTTTCATTTGTGTTGGACAAGGGTCTGGCTTTATGATGAGAGTTGATCTTACGTAGTCTCCACTATCATTATCATGTCTTACTATGATTTTACAATTTTGTAGGTTGCATTATTAAAAGGTCGTGTAAATATCGCATGTGGTACACCAAGCAGGTAATTAATTTGTAATTTGCACTACTTTACACAGTTGCTCGTTACTTGGTTTTGGTTCTAACCTCCTCTTGTATGGTATTAGATTTCCATTGGATAATTTCTTTCTTTGTAAATGTTACTTGGTTTTTTTACCTGTTTATATAATGTGTCTGTACTTTTGTTCTCTAAAGATCCGAGACCTGCTGTTAATAGAATTATGATCTTACGATAAAATCATGGTTATAGGAATCTTAATGCGCTGATCTTTGCTAGATAGCTTCAGATTGGTGTTGGTGGGAACAAATACAAAATCACACCAAAATATCAACTTCTGGTTGTTTATCTATTTAATTTGAAGCTTAATTAGAGCAAGGTAAGAAGAGGGAGGCAGAGCATGGTCCCTATTGTTTGCTACTTCAGCTCTATAGTTTTAGTTACATTTACTCTTGGTCATGATTTAACCTTCATGACCATTTAGTCTACCTGCTAGCCTTCCTTCTATTGCAATTTTCTGTTTATGCGTAAATCCTCAAACAGCTACCCTGTAGTTTATGAAACCAGAACCTTTTTATTACAATCGAATATTCCAGGTAACAGTATTTAGGGCCACTATCGATGCTAGAGTTTCTGCATTCTAGGCCTATATTCTTTTTTTCTTTTTTGAACCATGAGGTCTACAGTTATAGAGGATGATACTAAGAGCCTGCTTACCCAGTACAGCAGGTTAATGGATACTAGAGGACCAGCCAGCAATGTTTCATCTTGATGTTTTAAAGTTTGGAGTTATTTGTATTTATGCATTTTATTTTTGTTCTATGATTTTTCTTTTTTGATATTGTTATCAAACTTCAACTCTTCGCCATAATGATTTGATCTTATTTGAGAACATGATCCACCTTTTTATCTTAACTATGTTCTTTTTCCCCCTCGTATCTGCCCTGCCTATGTCACGACCCTAATTTCCGAACCTAAAAGGAATATTGGAGCCGGACTAAACCTGTGAAAAATCCTCCAAAAATATACATTCATCAAAAGACCATCAAAATAATCTCATTGAAATAAAACCAACAATAAATATTCTCTATAATCCCAAAAGTCAACATTAATCCAATTAACTTAATATAAACAAATATTCCTCAACTTGAAATAAAACTCGACCTAAAGGAAAGAATTTCATTATTCCAAAACTCTCAATTTATCAATTAAACATCAAAGACTTTGTTTAACCTTCACCTAGAAGACAATAACAATCTCGAATTTTATTCCTTGCTCCGTTCTAAGAATTTGAAAAAATCATCAATTCCACCTAATCCTGAGTCTTTGAAAAGAATGAAAACAACACAATGAGTTCACAACTCAATAAGTGGATAAATTCATACATTGAACACTAGTTTTACAAAAAATTAAATATTTCGACAAATGATAAGCTAAATATAAGAATAATAGAGAATCATCAATGAACTCTAGTACTTGATGCAAATATTTAAGAAAAGTTTAAAAAATCATGAAATGGAACTAAGCAGGCCACGACTCAATGAGGTTAACACTTTATACTCCGGTTGACTCGGTAAACCCCACAATTATTAAGCCCGTGGTTTCGGGACGATGAGATCCAAATTTGGGCTCTTAACGCTAAAATAAAACCTTATAGAGGCACATTGAGTCCTGTTTTAATAGCTTGCTTATATCCGACATATACCGGTGTATTGATCTGAGATGCATATATTTTTAAGAAAACGAACAAAGTTCATATAACCAAATACTTTATAAAGAATTGCTAAAGGCCAACCAGTAGTGAAACCAATCACATATGCATCACAACTTATTACTATATGAGAAGACATGATTATCGAGAAAGAAATAAGCATAGGCTTATACCAAATATCCATGTGTGTCACCTCCAAATTAATACTTAACATGCGAATAAATCACACAAAAGGATATAATCCATCAGAAATAAATCCGCGTATACTTAATATAATTTTATATGAAAAATAAGCAGTGCATAATGTATAAATTCATCACTTACACAAACACAAAAGACTATCAGAATACCAGTTACGATGCCTCCTCGAAATCACTTGGGATTCCTACATAATATATACAAATAACCATCAAAATTACCGTATAACTTAAGACCCGAATACCTATTAAAATAATCTTAGGATAATATCATACGTCATTTAATTAACTATACTAAAATCAATCTACATACTCTACTGTACCCTATAACTACGATTAAGCATTGTATACATAACAATTTTTTTATCATAGAATCAATATAATCATATGCTAAGAATCAAAATATCATGCATGAAGATGAAAGTAAATAAATAAATAAAGGTAAGAGCAGCAATAAGCTCTTGTGTTCGCCATGGCCATGGAATCAAATATCATGCATGGAGAAAATAAATAAATAAATATATGAGCAGCACTATTTAAGTTTTATGCCAAAAGAACTTGAATTATTACAGCCTACCCCCTAGTTGCTTTTTAAGTTTTATGCTAGCACTATTTTAAAAAACCTCCGCCTAGTCCGCCTAGGCATCCGCCTAGTCCTAGGCGGTACCTTGGCCGCCTAATTAGCGCCTAGGCGGTACCTAGGCTACCCACCTAGGTTTTGGGAGTGTTTAGGGGAGCATTGTCTGTTTATGTAGACTGCATTCTTTAGGCATTGATCGTGATTTTCTATGTTGCAACCTCCACGTCCTCCAATCTCCTTCAAACTTGTTTAACCTCCAAATATGACCACCTCTACTACCTCCTCCGACCTTTAACAAAACTTCCTCGACCACCACTTAAATAAAGTAAGAAATCCGCCTACACACTAGTCTGGCATCTAAGCTTTCTATAACATTAATATTTACTATCAATTATTGTAATTAAAAAAGAAAAAAGAAAATCTCCTACGTTCTAGGCAACGGGCCCAACACCTAAGCCTCCTAGCGCTTTATATAACCTTGTTAATTATTATTTTGGCTATTTAGCATTTAAGTATGCATGGTTTGTTGTGGATCTAGGATTTCTATTTATTTTTTCACAAATTTAAATGAATTTAATATATATTTTATCAATTATTATAAAAAATAGCCACACGCCTAGGCATACGCTTAGGTGTCTAGGCGCTAGGCGCGGGCTCAAACGCCTAGTCTGCCTATCGTCTTCTGTAACCTTGTATGCTAGTGAAAATCACAATTAGGATTGGGAATCCTTTCTGGACTTAAAGTTGCATTACAGAGAACTGAGTACTCATATGGAATAAGTACAAGGGAAAAAAAATTTGAAATTTCTCAGCATGCTTGGTGAACCAGACAATTGAAATTACAGGTACAAAGATATGAAACATACTGAGATAGCTGCTGAGATGGGGTAGAATATTGAAATTAGGCAAAAATTCTTCCATTGGGATTCCAATTCTATTTGGTAAGTTAGGCCAGACCCTTGAAGGATTATTTGTCTGGTAAGGTGCTATTTGGTTTATTTGGCTAGCTATTACAAAGCTTTGACAGAAATTAAGTTACCAATTATTTAGCTTGGATTCAAGTGTATTCTTTCAGGTTAAATTCTACAGTATGTTTGTTTAAAAATATGACATCTCTCCATTTGATGATTGCGGAGCTTCGAAGTCTTTAATGAATTAGTATAGTTCTTAAGAACTTTGTTCAGAAAGTTTTGGAGAGGAATTCAAGAACATTAAGATAAAAGGTGTTATAAGTCATGCTTGACTTGGAATGTAATAATTCATGGGGATACTTAAATGTTTGCATTGCAACTCTTAAAACAATCCTAGCATGTATTAACTGTTTTTTCCCCTTCTTATTTTTATGTCTTATTTCTGAAGTTCATTCTTCCATCAACAAAATTCCAGGATAAAAAAGTTAATTGATATGGATGCACTATTACTTTCGCGCGTACAAGTCATTGTATTGGACATGCAAAGAAATGCCAAGGGTTTTTCCCTTTTCACCCTTCCACAAGTCAGGTTAGAACTAAGACTAAAACATACCCCTTTTAGTCTTTTACATTGTGTATTCATGATTATTTCTAGCTGATCATATTTCTTTGCTTTTAAATATTTTCCAGCACCGAGTTTTGGGACTTGTACAAAAGCCATTTTAACGAGAGGCTTCTTCAAGGCCATACTAAGATTTGCTTCTATGGCCATGTATCTTCTGCTGAGATGAGCAAAATTTGTGGAAGTGATGAATGAGCAAGTGTTATCTCAATTTTGGGTGCAACAATTTGTACTTCTGTTGTAGCTTATGTGTTAATGATTATGGATAAAATTTTTATATAATTTGTTCTTCGAGGAATTTCTTAGATGCTTAGTTTTGTCCTCTTGATGCTGGGATTGGCATAAAGAAAGCCCATAATTGCTTGTATATTCTATTTACCAAACTTTAATGTTATGCATATTTTAAGGCATTGTACTCTGTTTTTTTTTTTTTTTAATCTTCATTCCTCTTTCTTCCTTTTTGGGTCCATAATTATGTAGAGTTAACACAGATTATTGGTGAGGCTAAAAGGCACTTAAATACCTCATATTGTCACTCAGTACTTATATACCCCCACTTGTGTTTGGTAGCATTTATGTACCTTAAGTTGTTTTAAATTGGTATGTTGGTGCCCTCTACATGTAAACATGAATATTTTCATTCAAATGTCGCTCTATATTTTCATTCTAATGTTTGTTAAATTTATTATTAAACCGATCCAAACTCTAATTTAAAGTAGAATTAAGATAAGTTTAGAATAGAATATTTGTAGGTTTAGTAGTAAATTTGATAATTATTAATACCTAGATAGCTCTATACTTAGAGTGCCATAAGGGAACATTCTGATGAAAATTTTCACATTTAAAATGATTGAGGGTACTACAATATTAATTTTAAACAACTTAGAATGAAAAAACGAGTGAGTATATAAGTGCCAAGTGAGTGAAACTATGAAGTATTTAAGTGCTATTTATCCTATTGGTAATGTCTCCTTGGGCTGTTCATTAACTTGATAATAGTGATTTCATGCAACTGTTTGAATATTAAAAAGGTTAAACTGAAAGTGATGCTTTTTCGGCCGAAGATGAGTAGGATGTTGCGAAATATTGTCAAAACAGATGAGATTCTATAACAAAAGAAATTGAAGGATGATTGACTTATGGGAAGAAAAAGAGTATCTTTCTGGATTTTATTGAGAAATGAAGGCTATCTATGTAATAGAAAATTTAATTTCATTCCTAAACTAATGCATATTTCAGTTACGTCTCCACGTACTTTCGAGTCATTAGCGACATAAAAATAGGTTATAGGAAGCAAGGATGTCACATATGCACCACGTTCGCATTAAACAAAGTACTAAAAGTAGTTTTCCAGACACACAAACACAAATTTTTGTGTAGAAATCGCAGAAATAACATCAATTTCTTTTACTTCGGCTTTTTCATGTAAACACACCACCTCTAAATGTACAGGAAACTCATATTTCTATTACATGTTTAGAGAAATGGACTAAAGAAATTGAAAAAACTTCCTAGACTCTAGCAAATCAATTTACGTAACCTTTGGCTTTGGGATCCAGTGCCATGTCATACCAGTTTTCCCTATTGTTAGGTCCATCCCTTCAGGTCCAAATATGATCACTCACCAATAACTGACAGAAACCTTTTGCACTTGCCCTCAC